ATTATCTGCAATGAACGTAAATTTGCCGAGGCGAGTTGACTCTGTCCTTAAGACGAAATTTCCCCGCAACGGTGCTAACGGATTAAATGGAAATCGTCTCCCAAGATACAACGGCAAAACTTGGAATAGGAGCACTCCAAATCCCAAGTACGACGAACTGTACTTTGTGTAGAACTTTTCGAGAGAATCTGTGAAGGGTAGGCTTAATATGTAGTAGGCTTGTTTTGGATTGAAGTGAGGAATTGTGGGAAAGTTAGGGTCTATTTATAAGGTTCGAAAAGTAGTGTCCTTTGGAGCAAAAAGGTACCTTTGTTTGAATGGTTGCACCATTTCAAAGGTACCTTTTGTTTGAATGGTTGCACCATTTCGAGTTGAGCCAATTGGGAGTGGTTGCACCATTTCGAGTTGAGCCGAATGGTTTGCATTGGTTCGGCCGCACCAATTCAGACCAGTCAGACCAATCGAGATGGGCTTCGAGTAATAAGAGCCTAACGGGTTAAAAGCCCATGACCTAATGTTTTTGGCCCGTCCCAATATTTTGATATATATACAGCTCAGTACTTCTCTACTTTTCCAATGTGGGATAACTCAAATCCCACTTTCCTTATATTTTGGACTAGTAATTTTTTCATTCACCACAAAATTGGTTCTAATCCAAAATTGATTTATATACTCAATTAGACCGTACAATAACATTGATAAAAAATTGTTCATGACTCAATTTTTAACCAATTTTCCCAACAATATATAGATTTGAGAGCTGCATGAGTTGGTTAGAAGTTGCCACACATGCACCTATCACACACTATACACAATAGAGAGAAAGCAGATCGAGAAAGAGAGGAAGAAATCTGAGATTGAGATCGAGAAATTTCTTTGAGAGCTTGTGATCTTTGTAAATCTCTGTAATTGTGTGGTTTTTGTTCATCAATATAAGTGTTGTTCTCTTTCGTGGATGTAGGCCAACCGATCGAGGCTGAACCACGTATATTTGTCTTTGTTTTCATCCTATCAAAATTAGTTTTAGGATTTGTGTGCATGAAACTGTTTCATTAAATTATGCTTGGTTTTTATCTGAATTTTTGGTGAGATTTTTTGGTTTGAATTTGATAAATAACATTTACTTCTTCGATTGAGTATAACATTTACTGAATTGTGTATTTATAGATAAAATTTACATGGCATGGTCATCATATTTTTACCCATGCATTGAGAAAAAAAGAATACCCATGTATTGACATTGATAGGTAAGCAGGTTACAAGGCATGCAAATTAGAAGCATATGAAGGGTTCATCGCTCACATTCAAAGAAGTAGTCCCATTGGTTGAAATCAAACACATAAAGAGATCATCAATCAATTTATAACAGTTTTCTTACTCCTTTTCTTTTGTCAAATGCATTGAAGATGAATGGTTGGTTCATCATTCATGGTACGGTTGGTAAGATATTGGTATGATCCTCTAAGATGAGAAACAAAAATACACAGCTACCGGAAGAAAAAGTAATGAGATAATAAATAATCAAAGAATACCAAAAAAAAAACAAAAATTGCACTATACACGTGCTATGTAATGTAGTCTATACATTAAAATCTGCTACATGTATAAATGATATGTCTAATTGGCCCAACCCAATGGGCCTACAAATTATTTACCTATTGGGTCACGAGCCCAATATCGAAGACCACTATCACCGAGGCCCAATCACCTTCAAGCAAGGTTTGGGCCCGACAATCTCAACTAAGCTATAAATACACATTTGAACTCATTCCATAAGGTACGTCCTATTAACTGAGCAATACTACAATACGTATTTTCTGGACTATTTCTACTATCAATATGTCTGACTTGAGCATCGGAGGGGTTTCCGCCGGATCAACCCCCGGCTTAGTTCATGTGTGATCATTTTGCAGGGACCTCAGGATCATCAAGTTGTCAAGCTACTGATCCGCTTTGCTCTCCCAGCTCGTTTTCTACACTACCCCAGGTGATCTAAGTAATTAGCATCATCAATAAAAATGAAGAATGTGGAGATAAGAAACTGTTCCCCTACAACACAAATCATCCACTCATAGATAGCATTTTTATACAGTTCTCTCTTTTTTTTCTTTTTTTTTTGTATTATTATTATTATTATTTATTTTATTCTGGCTAATTATATTTCTCAACAATCAATAGTAAAAAAAAATACAAAATCACATATTTGTTTATTTTAATACGAAACAAAATAAATATTTTTATCGCTAAAAACAAGGAAAAACTTAGACATGTTATAGTATTGAAATTAATAAAATATAAAACATATATATATATATATATATATATGTGTATATATATATATATATATATATATATATATAATGTACGTGACAATATCTCTATAAAAAAGGGTACGGAGTCCAAAGAAAGAATCCTCAAAATAAATTTAAGAACTGTTGTAATATCGTAGAGAAAGAATATATAATACGAGCTATATAACCATGTCGTCTGCAATATAATGTAAGTGTTGATAACATTTTCAATGAACTCCATTTCAAGAGATCCAGTTGGAACTTTCACTGTATCTACCTAAATTATCGTGATGCATAAAAATTACACATAACTCTAATACAAACATAGATATAACTTATCGTGATGCATAAAAATCACCTAGTCACTTAGAATGCATAAAAAGTACTACTTAATTCAATAAATGTAATATATGTATATAAACGTGCATATACATAATTAATTCACTAATCTCATATAAACGCCTATGATCATGTCAATGAAAAATGTGGGGTGTTACATCACCTCGATTGTGTGTTGCGTCATTTGGATTGCTTGCAGCATATTCTGCAAAATCCCATGGTACCAGCGTTAGACACTACATGCGCATATATATGCCTTGTGAGGTCAGGCTTGTGCCGACATCTGAGAGCGCGCATATATGTGCCGACATCTTAGAACTCATTTATTAGCAGATTGGACTAGCCTTTCGTTTTGATGATGCCCCTGCGAATGTCGATCTTTGGGATTTGGGAAATTGAGATATTTGGGATCGGGATTTTGGGATTCGGGATTCAGATTTGAAGTCTCAGTTTCTGTCTAAATAATATAATAATAAAAAATCCCGGTGTTTCGAGAATCTAAAAAAAAAATGAGAATTCATGATCGGGACGGGAAATCCCATATGTTGGGCAAACATTGAAAGATTGCATATTTAAATAATAATTAACCTCAATAACATATAACATTAAAATTATTACAGAGGTTAAGAATTATACAGTGTGAAAGAATAATAAGAATAATAAAAACACATCTTAGAGTTTGGAATAACGCTCGGTCTTCCAATCCAATATTCACTCCAGAGATTCCACAAACGGACCTACAAACACCACCAGATTACCACAAAAGAACAAATCTTCTCACTCACTCACTCAGATTCACCCAGAAATCCACAGAGAGAAGTACAAATTCAAACACATGCAAGCTCACACAATCACCAAACAGTCTCAAATCAAATTGGTGGCGAGAGGAATTAGAGTAAATGGGCTTCACTGGCCCATCGATTCATTTGTGTCAAAAATCAAAACACATAATTTTGTTTTTTTCCCAGGTTTTTTCAACAAATATTGTCATTTTTTAGTTCTAATTGATCGTGTCGATAATCATTATTTTGTTTACAAATTTAACTAAAAAAATCGAGAAAAATATATTTTTTTTATTTCACCAAGAGAGAGTAATGTTAAATTTTGTACTACGGGAATAAAATTTGTATTGCAAATATCACCCCCTTCACAATAACTCTAATTTCACTAGACATATAATTAATAATATAAAAATATTTCTAAGCAAAGCCCATATGGAATATAATTAAAACAATTTCCTAGAACACGAAGTGAATAACTGTGTTTTATTATATTTTGCCATTAAATTTAGAGAGGGATATGTGTGTGGGCATGTGGTGAATGTATGCTGAGTTGTGTCATTAAGAGGATAATTACAAACTACTGAGAGTATTAATTACGATTAAATCTCCTATTGAAAAAACTCATGAGAGCTAATTGTCTTAAATAAAATAGTTCAGTATACAAACTTATTTCACTTATTAATAATTTTGTGAAAGTGTTTTATCAATAAAAAAAAAATATAAAAAAATAAAAAAAATTGGGATTTGTTTGTGATACAGAACTTGTGAAGCATCCATCATCAATATTCCGGCTAAACAAGCGCAACTTCTAGAGTAAGAAACTTTTGACTTTGCCATATTCTGTGATTTTTTTTTCCATTCATTTTTTTCCATATATATATAAAAAAAAATAAAAAATTCTACTGTTCTTGAGGGCAATTGAATTTTTGTGTACCATTTTTATTTTTTTGTTTTCATCATTAGTTGGGGTGTATGTCTTATTTTTCCAAGGGGCTACTTCTCTATATATTGAAGTATGATTGAGATGTGAAATTTGAAGGAAAATATTTTAAACAAATAATAATTTATTTATTAAACTTGTTTGCATGTCTAAAATTTTAGCTCTTATTTTAATTCAATGTGATGGATTTCATATCCATTTGATTTATTTGAAAATATTTAAGACTATTTCTCAAAATTTTATCCTTTTTTTTTTATCCAATTACATACTTATGTTCAATTGGATTCAAAGATTTCAAATGAATGGATATAAAATGATTTTAAATGAAAAAAAAATTTGAAGTGACCATAAATGAGAATGAACTTGAAATGAGTTAAAAATGAGAACTAATAGTTTGAATCTAACTGTGAAATGACTCATTTCAAATAAAGTCAATAGATTTGTTATTGTACTTTTTTTTTTTTTTGCATCTTGTGATTAAGTTATTTATGTTCTATATATGTAACGGGAAAACAACATATAATATAACCTCTTGTGTTAATGGAAACCTACATTTGTTGATAAACTTCTTTTTTTTTTTTTTTAATTAATAATTAATAATATACCACAATATAATACTTGAATAATGATATTAATTCCCAAGTAATTGAATGTTTAGGTCGAGATCAAGATCGATGGAAACGAACAAAATTCCAAAATCTCCAGCTGAAAGAATTACTCAAAGCATTAAGAACAAGTTTCAGTGCCAAAATGCAACTATTAATCCTATAAATGGAGATCAACTTATTCTTCCATCAATCTTCAAAGTACACCAAGGCTTAAGGAGAAGCAACCCCGATTCCTACGCCCCAATGATCGTCTCGATCGGCCCTTATCACCATGCAAGTACTGCAAACCCTAATTTACTCCCAATGGAAAACATAAAACTCTCGTATTTGCATTCATTTCTCGCACGAACGTCAGAAGACGATGTGGGAAGGTACGTTTTAGCCCTCCAGCAATCCAAACATAAGGCTCTCAGTTTCTACGCCGACCAAAATTTTGACGACGAAAATGGTGATCTGTTTGTGGAAATGATGCTTCTTGACGGCTGCTTCATAGTTGAGTTTGTTCGGAGATATTCCGAACTGGAAAACGGACATGATCTTGAAGATGACCCAATATTCGGCGTCGACTGGATGAGAATCCAAATATGTCGCGATCTTATGCTAATAGAGAATCAGCTCCCTTATTTTGTTCTTTTGGAGCTTTACAATTTGAATCATGACGATCAATTTGATGATGTTATTGGTGATGAGAGGGAGCCCTTTGCAAATCTTGCGATGTTGGTTTTCTCAGACATGTTCCCAAAGCTTTGTCCTGCATCCATATTTTCTTCGGCGGAATTATTTGAGGAGAGAGAGGTCAAACATTTGTTGCATTTGGTTCACCTTCTGTGTCGGCCGCCACCTCATTCTTCTTCTTCTCCTTCTGGATTGAAAAGCTTTGAAGGAAATTATGGCGTGAGTGGGAGTGAGGTGATGGAACCGATGCGGTGTGTGAAAGAGTTGGAAGAAGCTGGAATCACGTTCAAAAAGATCGGAAAAGTTTATGCCGGGATTCATTCGTTGGATGCTGACACCATTGATGACACTATCAGCTTGTTTGATATCAAGTTCCATAATGGTGTCATGGAGATCCCTTCCCTTAAGGTTAGAGTTATTCATTGTGTTTATTCATAAATTTTTTTTCGACTCAATTTATTTAGTATAACATATAAATGTGTATAGCTAGTCGCACTAAAATCGCTAATGGAGAATAATAACATATCGTCGTGGGTCTAAATGTGTGTAGGTTGAGGACTCGACGGATACTTTCTTCAGGAATCTGATAGCATACGAGCAGCATTCGTCTGAGTTGAGGCCAAAGTACTTCACGGATTATGCGATGTTCATGGACCAACTAATAAACACGGATGAAGATGTAAACGTGCTTCGACGTAACGGAATAATAGTGAACTTGTTAGGGGATGATGGAGAAGTAGCAAATCTTTTTAACAAGCTTGGAGAAGGGGTTATCACAAGTTCTAATTTTTACTATTTGGGGACATGCAATTCAGTGAATCAACACTGCGGCAAGATTTGGAATGTGGTGATGGCAAAATTGAGGCATGACTATTTCAATAGTCCATGGGCAACAGCTTCCACAATTGCTGCTGTTGTGCTTCTTATTCTTACTGTTATACAAACCATTGCCTCTGTAATACCTTTGTATTCCTAGTTTTCTGTCTTTTTCCTTTTATTTTTTCTTTTTTTCTAAATCAAACTTGTTCAATTTGTTCCTTGAGAGAATATTATATATATATGAGACTGTTTGAAATTTTATCTTATGAACTTTATTTGTTTTCTGATGTAATTGTTTTGCATTAAAAGACTATTTTTTTTTTGGCCAAATTTTTTATTCTGTTATATACTTTTGAAAGTACAAGGGATCTCGTTAAAAACGTTGTGGGCCTACACAAGGAAAAGAGTACCCCTAAATCGACAAGAATAAAAATGGGAAATAAAAACCCTATTACAAAAAAAACCCCTATAGTGGGTTGAAAGAGCAAATACTAACCTGAACCCTAACTTATTGCAAAAATTTGCAAAAAGACCACAAAGAGGGGTTAAAACCTTAATACACAAAGTATCCCACCTCCAGCACTTGAACCTTTTATCGAGACCTCTCTTGTGCCCGTGCACACGCCACTGCCACACCTGCATATGAAGAAAACTCATCCTGAAAATCTACGAAATTGAGGAACCTCCACTCTATCTAGAAATATCAACTTTTGGATATGGGTACAAAGCTGATTGAAGTCTTTGTGGGAATTTTTTTTGTACGTAAATGTTGCTTTAGCCAAGACATCTGCCACATTGTTTTGCTCTCTGAAGTTAAATGGAATCTCACTTACTTTCTAAAGAATAAATTTAATCCTTCTAACCATGTACCAAACACCCCAATTCAATCTCTTGTCTAAGGTTAATAACTGAACAGCCAACTTAGAATCAGTTTCCAAGACCACATTGGTGATTCCCATTTGCATACATATTCTAATACCATCATATATGGCCTCCAATTTCGCACTAAGTATATCAGAATGCTTGTACGGAGTTGAGAAGGCTCAAATTAGGGTTCCACCAGTGTCTCGAAGAATCCCTCCACCATCACGGAGTTGAGAATGCATGTAGATTGGACTTTGTAGCGCCATCCACGTTAAACTTCACACAATTTTCATTAGGCTTTATCCATCCTAGCCAAACTCCATGTTTAACTTGAACCTTAGCTTACTGCATGTAACGTGTAGCTTTTCCAACATCACTCTCTCCCATGTAGTAAGAAAATGTTTGGGGACAGATAACCTACTGATTGTGTGAACATTCTGAGTAACAATGTAAATAATATTATTTGCACTCATTCGTTCCTCTTAAAAAATAGCCTTGCATGTATTTTTCCATATATCCCAGAGTGTGTAACAAATAACATTCAGTATACAAACTCCAATATGTGTTCTTGTACTCGATCCATGCATCCACACAGTGCATAAATGCGAGAATGACTTGAATCTACTTTGATTTCTAAAAATGGATAAGAAAGATGACCATACAAAATTGGCTATATCTGACTGCAACAACAAATGAATAAGGGTTCCTCCTTTGGATTTTGACAGCATTGACATTTACAAACCATTATCTCCATTTCCTTTTAATATTATTATCCACATGTAAGGCATTATGAAAGACTCTCCACATGAAAGCATTCACTTTGAGACGTATGGTTGAGTTCCATATATAAGAAGACCATGCAACATGAGGAGAAGGACTTCTAAACATGTCAATATATTTATGGGTTCTAAATCTCCAATTACTAGTCAAAGTGTATATGAGTTTATCATCTTCTTGCTCTTCGATCAACACTTGTGACATTGCTCTCCGTTATTCCACGATGAGAATGGAAATCCATCAAATATAATTAATCAAGCCCATCTCTAACATTAAGTTGAGATGAATCCTTAGGGTTAAGCTCCTCTCCCATCCAGTTACATGTCCAAAAGAAATTTCACCTTTTCCAATCATCTACCTACTCAGTTGACATTGTTAGAGATTGAGAGTTAGTATATCTCGTTTTCCTCCCTATTTTAGAATCAATACTGTAGCACACAAAGACCAGCCATTATATATATTCCAAGCTAACTTCCCCTGGAGGCCAAATATAGTGTCTGAAATTGATCTGATAACTAAACCACCTGCACTCTTGGCTTACAGATATGCTTCCAAGACACTCACTCCACCCTTTGAGCTCCATGCTGACTCCACAAGAAAGCTTTAAAAAATCCTTCAATTCTCTGTATAAATCTCTTTGGCACCACTATACAAGGGACTGTATGGATAGGTAAGCTGGAGAGAACTGTCTGAATCAAGGTTATCTTTCCTCCAAAAGATAAAAAATTGGCTTTCCAACCCTCAATTCTTCCAGTGATCTTCTGGATCAAGGGATCAAAATACACCTCTTTGCATCTTCCCTTAAACAAAGGGGATCCAAGATAAGTAAGAGGGAAATTTTGTACTTGGCAATCAGTAATGGCTTTTATCTGTTGAATTCTATTGTTTTGCAGTTGTATGGCGGTATAGAAACCACTCTTTTAGAAATTCTTCTTCTGTCCAAAAGAAAATTCATATTTCTGTAGTAAAGCCTTCAAATTGCTCAAAGATAGATCACTAGCATTGATAAATATGAGCATGTCATCGGCATAGAATAAATGGAAAATTGACTGAATGTTCTCTCCCAATTTGTGTGCTCTCAATTATCCAAGAGATTTCAATTGCTTAAAATTAAAGGACAAAATTTGTTGAGCAATAATAAAAAGAAGAGGGGTTTCGGGATCTCCTTGCTTCACTCCTCTAGATGATTTAAATTGTCCAATCATTTCCCCATTAATATTAATTGTGTACCAAGCATTTCATATTAATCCGTAGATGAGATCTCTAAAATTTTCATTGAATCCCATAGCCTTCATAGCTCTCAAATAAATCTCCATTCTATCATATCATATGATTTTGACATATCAAATTTGAAAAATATTTCTGTCAAGATCTTCTATCATCTCTTGAGCAATAACAACAAATATATTCATGTATGTTTCTTCCTTTGACAAAACCAGTTTGTTGAACATCAATAATCTTTAGAAGTAACTTTGCCAATCTACTAGAAATGATTTTAGAGATAACTTTGATAGTAAAATTACTCAAACTTGTAGGTCTATACTCTCCCAAAATTGTAGCTTTCTCCACTTTAGGAATCAAAATAAGGAGGGAGGTACTCAAGTCTTTAGATAGTTGATCACCTTCTGAAAAGACCATGGATCAATTCCATCATATTTTTTTTGATGGTCTCCTAGCAATGAACAGAGAAGTAGCATGTGAATCCATCTAAACTAGGAGAGTTGTCTGCATATCATTCTTTCACCCTTTTATAAACTTCATGCTCTAAAGGGAGATTAATCAATTCCTGATTCTGGTTATAGGATATGGTTTTTGAAACTTGATGAAATAGCTCCTCATCTATATGATATGTAGAGGCTTGAAAAGGGTGAGGAAAATAATACACTGCCTGATATTCAATTATTTTATTCTTTGTAATTAGCATACCATCCACCCCTTTTATAGGAATTGTATATTCCTCCGCCTCATTATTTTAATAACTGCATGATAGAAATAATAACTTCTATCCCCATCTTGTATTCAGGCTTCCCTTGTCTTTTGTAACAATATATATGCTTCACAGTTGAGGTATTAATCCAGTTGTTTTTTGGCTTACAAGTCTTTATCCCACCTAATTTGCAGTTGGCTTTCAAGATATGCTATCTTATTTGTAACTATGTATGCATCTCGACACCTCTAGATTCAGACCAGTTCTAATCATGTAGAACTCTCTTCAATCTTCGAAGTTTTTTTGTTATAAGATAGCTAGAAAGACCATGAATTGGTGAGACAATATATTCTCAACCAAAGTAAAAAAGTGAGGGTGGTCCAGCCACATTTTCTGAAAAATGAACCTAGCCTTGTGTTTTATCATCTAATGACATTGTATAACCAAAGGAGTTCAAAGTGGAAAATTATGTATGAGCTTCTCCATTTCCAAAAAACCGATGTAAACGCTGCCAAATCCTTTTTATACCTTGTTGGTTATTACACCAAATAAAAGTATTGCTTTGGAAATCTATTTTTTCTAAGATTCTAGATTTGACAGCGCATTCATGGAACTCTTACATTGGACCCAAATCAAATCAAGAGAGAGACCTCCCTTTTCTCAGAAGCTTGTAAGATAACATTAAAGTCTCCGCCAATAATCCATGGCAATCTAGTGTCACTGAGATGAACAAGGTGTGACCATAGCTCTAACCGATCTTGTCTAGTGAAGCTTTCATAGACAACATTGATAATAATATGTTGCTTACAAAGCATGATGATCTCCATTGTAATAGATTGAGGTGTAATGTAGTGTGATGTAATCGCTAACTTACTTTTCCATAACAACTATATCTTTAAATTAATAGAATCTCCATGGTAGAAGGCAAAAAATCCTAGTTTATTAGCATACTGTTGTATTGATCAAATATGCGGCAGTTAGGGGTATTCATAAACCCGCCAAACCCGATCCGCCCGCAACCAGTAAGTTTCCTGATGTTTTTAAAAGTAGCATTCTAATCTTGACACCCGCAAAGTGTGGGTCGGTTTTCGGGTTTTAATATTAAAACTCGGTCCTAACCCGACCCGCCCGCATATGTGAATAGAAATACATTTTTTGTGTACTTGATAGCCCAGTTAGGGTTTTTGATTTCGCAACACTTCAGCAGCTTCCAATCCATTTTGCGTCTTTTCCCTTCTATCGACTTCTCCATTATTTTTTTGGTATTCTTCGAAATCTCAAATCTGAGCTTTCCGAACCAATTCTCATATTCCAAATTCTGAACCATTCTTTTAGAAGCTATTAGTCAGATTCAAGTCTCATTTAAAAAGATAAGATTTTATTTATTGATGGTATTTTTGAACTTTTTATTTATAATGTTGAATATATATATAAATATAAATATCTTGAAATTTTAAAGTGATGAGCGACATAGTTTGGGAAATATGAGATTTTATGTAAATGTTGAGATGTTCATGACTTTTTTTATTCCTTTACTTGTTTTTTTTTCATCTATAATTTCTTTTTTTATGCTCATGTTATGTAATTTC